GAGAGAGAGAGAGAGAGAGAGACAGAGAGAGCGCTCCTCAGCTCTTCCTCTAGGGGGCGTTTTGCTTTTCTCTGCTATCCCAGTCTGACCCATCTTCCTATCCCTCTAGGATCTGATGACCCAAAATGGAATAAGCTATGTTCTCAATGCCAGCAACTCCTGCCCTAAACCGGACTTTATCTGTGAGAGCCGTTTCATGCGTATCCCCATCAATGACAACTACTGTGAAAAGCTGCTGCCCTGGCTGGACAAGTCCATTGAGTTTATTGGTGAGGGGAGGGGAGGATGTGTCCGGCTCTGTGGTGTGGGGGAGGCTGACTACAGGAAGACTGGTGAGGGGAGGATCACCTCTGGGGCCATCCAGCTCTGGGAAATCACACGCACTGTCTGCCATAGGGAGGGTAGGCCTAATTTTAGTTAGGAAGGAACAGTGCAATCTCAGCCCTCACCTGGTCCCCTACCATCCACCTGCCCCCAGATAAAGCCAAGCTGTCCAGCTGCCAAGTCATTGTTCACTGTCTGGCTGGCATCTCTCGCTCTGCCACCATCGCCATCGCCTACATCATGAAAACCATGGGCATGTCCTCTGACGATGCATACAGGTACTTTTCCCCTCCCGGGCCCTGGGGACCTGGGATTCCACAACCAATGGCTAACAGCATTGCCCCCCCCTTCCTTCTCCGCCCACTTGGATGGTACAATCTATTACCCTGGCAGGGAGGGAAAGCTGGAGCCCAACACAAAGTTTGGGCACAGGGGGAAATCGATCACAAGGATTCCTGTCCTGTTCTGACAGGCATTTCTCTTGCTTGCCCAGGTTTGTGAAGGATCGGCGCCCCTCCATCTCGCCCAACTTCAACTTCTTGGGCCAGTTGCTCGAGTATGAGAGGAGTCTGAAGCTGCTGGCTGCCCTGCAGAGTGATGGACCTCACTTGGGGACCCCTGAGCCCCTCCTGGGCCCGGCAGCAGGCATCCCACTGCCCCGGCTGCCACCATCTACCTCAGAGAGCGCTGCCACTGGGAGCGAGGCAGCCGCTGCAGCCAAGGAGGGCGGCCCAAGTGCTGGAGGGGATGCTCTGATCCCCAGCACAGCTCCAGCCACCAGCGCACTGCAGCAGGGCTTGCGTGGCCTGCACCTCTCCTCTGACCGCCTCCAGGACACCAACCGCCTGAAACGCTCCTTCTCCCTGGACATCAAGTCGGCCTATGCACCCAGCAGGAGGCCTGACTTTCCCGGCCCACCTGACCCTGGTGAAGCCCCAAAGCTCTGCAAGCTGGACAGCCCGTCTGGGGGCACGATGGGCCTGCCCTCGCCCAGCTCGGACAGCCCGGACTCGGCTCCAGAGGGGCGCCCACGACCACGCCGGCGACGTCCCCCGGCCAGTTCTCCAGCCCGCTCCCCGGCTCACGGCCTGGGTCTAAACTTTGGAGACACGGCTCGGCAGACTCCGCGGCATGGCCTCTCGGCCCTTTCGGCACCCGGATTACCCGGCCCTGGCCAGCCGGCTGGCCCCGGAGGCTGGGTGCCGCCACTGGACTCCCCCGGCACACCGTCGCCGGACGGACCCTGGTGCTTCAGCCCCGAGGGCGCTCAGAGCCCAGGCGCCGCGTTCTCTGCCTTCGGCAGGGCGAGTGCTGGTGCACCTGGACCGGGAGGTGGCAGCAGCAGCGACCTGCGGAGGCGGGAGATGCGGGCTGAACCCCGGGACGTGCGGACCGGCTGGCCTGAGGAGCCTGCTTCAGATACACAGTTCAAGAGGCGCAGCTGCCAGATGGAGTTTGAAGAGGGCATGGTGGAGGGGCGGGCGCGTGGGGAGGAGCTGGCAGCTCTAGGCAAGCAAGCCAGCTTCTCGGGTAGTGTGGAAGTCATCGAAGTATCGTGACCCTTCAGGAGTCCCTGAGCCCCCGCTCCAGCCAGGCCAGGCATAAATATATATTATATATAACACACAGAAAGGTAAATGGTTTTACTGCAGTTTTTATCAAGAAGTAAATATTTCGATTTTTTTATTTATTTAAGATAGTGATCTGGCACCTGTGCGGGGCGGTCCTCAAGCTCTGTTTTTACTGTCTGGTATTTAACTGAAACAGGTTTCTAAGCAATATGAGGCCACCTTCAACCCCAAGGTGGGTTGACAGGCCCGGGCCCCTCTTCACCCCTCCCCTCTGGAAATAATACTGACCTTGCAAAGAGCTGCCCAGCTTTCCTGCACTTTTTACATAAGAAAGGGAGGGGAGGGAGGAAAAAACCCTTTATTTGCCACAAACTGAGCCGCAGACCCCTTGCCTTGTCCTTTCCTCCTTCCTGGTCTCTCCTCTCCTGTCTCTCATGTCTTGGGCTCTATAGCAAAGCCATAGGTAAGGGGAGAGGGAGACCCTAGTGTCCCTGAAGAAGGCCCCACCAGCAGTCCCACCCCACTGCAAGTTGCCAAGTCTTAGTGGCATAGGTGTACCCTCTCTGCTGGTCCATCACCCCGGGGCTGTTCCTCAGCAGGTGTTGGTGGGCACGGAACCCCATGGACCAGAGTTTTCAGGGAGACTTGGACAAGGAGGCGGGTTCCTGGAAGCCAGATGAGGTAGCCCCTATGGCAAGGATGGAGTAGACAAAAGAGCTCACACTCCTATGAGAGTGAGGTCCAATTCCTCAAAAGGGTCCAGGAGGCCATTCAGAGGATTCTCTCTTTCCTTTGCAGGTGCTCTTGCCCACTGGGAAGCCCAAGAGACTCCCCAGCGTGGACTGGGCAGTGTCCAATGCTGGTGGGGGGAGCTAGGCTAGCTAGGGCTGGCAGGGGCTAGCTCTGCTGGTCAGAGGGGAGCTCTGGGTCCAGTATAAATGGTGGTAGATCCAAACTCTCATTCTGGGCTCTTCCTGCCCCTGGTAGGACTTGGAATTCAGGTGCACCTGCAGGTCGAGTGGCCTCTGGAGCAGGCCTCCTTACAATGGAGTAAAGCACCTACCAAGTCCTTAGGCTTCCAGAAAGTGGGAATCCTCAGCTTTGAGAGAACTATCTCCAAATGGAGAAAGACCCCATCTAGAAACAGATGCTAGGGAAGTCCTTAGTGACTACCCCATCCCTACAGGGGCTTCTCAGGAGAGAGTCCCTCTGTGTGCTCCCTTCCCAGCGTACTTTCCCAGTGTCTTCAAGATGACGTGCTAGCCTCCACCCAAGGTGGCTTTTTTTTTTTTGGCTCAGAGCCAATCTAGGAGCAAGGACAGGAGAAAAGTACTAGCCACCCTTGCTGAATATACTCTTGGACCATTTGGGACCCCAAGTTTTGAGGCAGAGTAGGGCTCCTTGCCCTCAGATGTCCTCAAGTCTAGGAATGGGACTGTCCTTTTAGGAAGAAGCCAGGGGCTTGGTAACAGGCAGCTGGGGCAGGACAGAGTCCTGGAGAAGACCTGGAGATGCCCCTTTCTACCCCACCTCCCTTGCCTGTCCTTCTGTCTGTTCTTTTGACCCACTGCCCTGTGTTTCTGTCATCCTCCTTCTTAAGCAAAAGTCCTGATCCAGTTCTCTTGATCCCACCCATCCTGATCCCTGAGAAAATAAGCTATTGTTGTATTTGCAATCTATGGATTAGAGGTTTAAGTATTTATTATTATTATTGGTTAATTATTATTATTAATTATGTAAATTTGCCTCCTGTCTGTCATTGGATTTCTAAGGTGACCATGGGTGTGGAGGACGCACTGGCTTCCCCCTCCTTGCCCCCACCCAACTGCTGTCCAGGAGACAGTAGTATGTGGCCACCAGTTGGACCCTAAAGATCCCCCTTGGGTCTGGTCCCTCCCCTCTGTTGGTGGAGGTATGGCATCTATCTTGGACACATGGGGCCCATTAACCTCAGTCTGTCTCTGTTCTCACTCACTCATGACCTTGGTCACCCCAAAGTGAGAAGACAAGATGGAGGAGAAGGTCCCAGCTGCCTGCCCCTGTGCAGGGTAGCAAGTGATGGAGCACAGGCCTTCCCTGGTGACTTTTCACCCACTGTCCATGGTGTGGAGGGTAGAGGGTCCTCTTTGAGCCCCTCACTCTCTCACCCCTCCTACCTGGTCACTGCCTGGCACTGGAATGGCCCAGAATGCGCCTGGCCCCCTCCTGTTGTTTTCTGGAAAGTCCAGTATAGGAGAGGAGGCTGGTCCCTTGCCCAAGGCTTCTGGTCCCTGAGGACCAGGATGCCAGCTTCCCCCTTGGGACCTTGCCCCACGAGGCCGCACTTTCCCATCCCTCCTTTTGTATTTGAAACAATGTGTTGTAATAAATCATGAGAACGATGTTTTCCCCAGGCCTCTGCTGCCTCTTTCTTAGGGCTGGTTGTGGGTGAGGTTGGGCACTGGGGGGGGGGCAGTCTGGGGACTCCATTAGACAAGGGCCTACAAAGCCCACTTGCTAAGTGAGCAGAGAGAAGAATCTGAGGTTTATCCTTGGTAGGCCAGGTATAGAGGAGGGGCATAGGACCTGGAATGCCCTCCCAGGATGTAAAATACCCACCTTTTAAAAAATCTAGTCTTAAAACCACTGAAAACTAGATAACTTTCAGTATCAGTTTGCAGGCTGGGGAGATGCTTCTGTCAGTACAGTGTTTGTTGGGCAAGCATGAGTGCCTGAGTTGGATCACTGGAGTCAGGTATGGTGGCATGCACTTGTAATCCCAGTGCCAGGAGGTAAACACAGAAAGATCTTGATGCTTCCTGGCCAGTCAGCCTAGCCTACTTGGTGCACCAGGCCAATGTGTATGTGACTCAAAATACAAGTCAGATGGTTTCTGAGGAATGACACCTGAGGTTGACCTCTGACCTCTACATACATGCACATGTAAACTGCATAGACGTGCACACACACGAGAGCTCGAGGTTCGCTTGTCAACCCTCCTCATGACACAGTCCTCCTGTAAATAGCTCATTTTCACATACACATACCTCATCACTGTCTTTCCAAAAGACACGGGGTCTACAAGTAATTCTTTTATGTGACATGATCACCAGAACCATGGCAGAGGTGCTGACTTCTGAAGCACAAGTACTCAAACTGGAACAGTATGGAGATCAGCATGGCCCTGTGCAGAGGTGATACATAGATTCATGATGAATTCCATATTTTTAGACCCCCTGGTATATCTACCAACTGATCCCTGGTGCAGCCCACCTTTTTGGTCCCCCATAGGATGTGTCCTTGCCATGGCTACAGCCCCCTCTGCTCCCTTCATTTCCTCATCGCTCCTGTAGTAGAGAAGGGTAAAGGGAGTAAGGCGCAGACCTTGGGTCATGAGCTTCTCAACAGCCATCTTCTTCTTTACCCTCACTGGGACCAGGAGTCTCTCCTCTTCTCCTTTCCCCTTTTCTTTTTTTTTTTTTTTTTTTTGGTTTTTCGAGACAGGGTTTCTCTGTGGCTTTGGAAGCTGTCCTGGAACTCACTTTGTAGACCAGGCTGGCCTCGAACTCACAGAGATCCGCCTGCCTCCTGAGTGCTGGGATTAAAGGCGTGCGCCACCAACGCCCAGCTCCCACCCCACATCTTTGGGGTGGACGATTTCTGACATCTTCAATTTTTTGTTTGTTCTTTGGTTTTTCGAGACAGGCTTTCTCTGTGTAGCTTTGGAGCCTGTCCTGGAACTGGCTTTATAGACCAGGCTGGCCTTGAACTCACAAAGATCTGCCTGGCTCTGCCTCTCAAGTGCTGGAATTAAAGGCATGCGCCACCACACCCAGCCATCTTCAATTTTTTTAAAGTTTGCTTTTTGTAAAAGAAGCATACTAGAGTGCCTGATGTGAGCCCATCCTTGTCTCTAGACACAGGGCTCCTCTCTCTGGACAAACTGCCCCTACACCAGTGCAGTCCAGCTTAGTGCCCAGGCTTACCTATCATGTGTTGTTACAAGTCATATGGCTGTGAGCATGCATGTACCATTCCATAGGACAGACTTTCAGATGTGGCTTTTCTGGGTCACCTCAAGATTTGGTCTCTGTGTGGACTACCCTAGATGCCCTATGGGAATTCCTAAGTGGGCTTCTTGGAGGATCTTAATTCTCATCCCTTCCCCTGACTAATGCAGCATTCTCCAGGTTTGTCCATCCTGTTCAAGAGACCCTTTGTGTTTTCATGCAGACAGTGGCATTGGCCACTCATGCATGTGAGTAGAGGTGTGTGTGTGTGTGTGTGTGTGTGTGTGTGTGTGTGTGTGTGTGTGTATGTGTGTGTAGGCCAGAAGATGGAGGAGGAAGAATCATGAGAGGAGGGGAAGAGGATGTGGCTAGCCCCTCTCCCAGCAGATCTTGAATTCTGCATCCTCAAGAGCCCTCAGAGAAGCTGAAAGCCAGCAGCATAGTCTGCCTCTAGCAAGACTATTTTTAGCTCAGGAACATCTATTTATAGCCCTGGCAGCCCCTCGGAGTCAATAAAACCAAGGACTGGAAAAGCTGATGGTTGTCTCAAGCAGGCCGGGTCCTCCTTCCCCCCTCAGTGCACATGAGCACCTGCAATGGCAGAAGGCGAGTGACAGCACTTCTCCTGGGAGGCCAGCTGGGAGCACTGGCCGCAGGGTCCCAGAAACAGTGTAAGATTCCACATGGGAGTGAAGGAGGTGCCTTTTACTAACTCATCCAGACTTCTAGAGGTCATCTTGACCAAGGACTGCATAAGAGTAGACTATGCTGGGCTTGCCCTCTGTTCAATTCCTATACTGCCATACCTAAAGACTGACCCCAGCTTGCACCTCTCTCCAGCCCTAAGTCAGCCAAGAGCTGTTGACAGTGAGAATGACAATGAGAGAGAGAGAGAGAGAGAGAGAGAGAGAGAGCGCACAGGCATGAGTGTGTGTGTGTGTGCACATGCTTGTGTGTCCTTGGAGACAGGGCATAACACATAGCCAAGACAACCTCAAGACAAGCCTCAGACAAAGGGTAGAACAGATGAGAAGGTGGGAGAATAAAGGAATAGAATAGATAGGTGATGAATAAGAAGAAGGGTGGAGGGGAGGATCAGTGGATGGATTGATGGAAGGGTGGGTGAGTGGATGGATGAATGAATGAATGGATAAATAAATTGACAAGTAGGTGGTTAAGTGGATAAGAAGTGGCTGGATGGAGAAAAGAGAGGGAGGGTGAAAGTGTATATGGGTAAATAACATCCTATTGCAACAGAGCTCTTCTGTCTTATATTAAAGGCATGTGTTCAGCCATGCATTGATGTGGGAGGTCTTTCTGTATGCTTCAAAAATGTGTTGTTTTTATTGGTGGATGAATAAAGCTGTTTCTGCCAATGACCTAGGCTTATTATTGGCTAACTCTCTCTTAAATATTAACCAATTCCTATGAATCTGTGTATCACCATGTGGCTGAGCTTACTGGTGATGCCCTGGTATCTTGCCTCCCACAGCAGCTACATGGATCTCCTTTACTCTTTCTTCCTTCTCTTTGTCCTTTTGTTTGGATTTCCCACCTAGCTAAATTCTGCCTGTCCATTGGCTGAAACAGCTTTATTTATCACCCAATAAAAGCAACACATATTTGCAGCATACAGAAGGACCTCCCACAACATCTCCCCTTTTCTGTCTAAATAAAAAGGAGGGTTTTAACTTTAACATAGCAAAATTATATATAACAAAACAGTTATCAAGCAAGAATTGTAGTTACAATATGAGTCCATTTACATTTGGCAAAAATTTAAAGAAAATTCTCTGTCATCTATCCTATCTTTGTGAGTCTAAAGTTTTAAATCTAATTTATCAGTTTTCATAACTAAGGGAAACTATAACAATCAAGTCTTCAATTCCATCAAAGACCCCAGAAGGATATAATATTACCCAAGTAAACAGGAAGTGCATTGTAAGCAACTTCCAAAACTCTAGAACTGACATAGACATCTTGCTTCCTGGACAGTCACCCAAAGTTCCTCTGCAATGTTGGGGCATCCATCTTCAGTCCACAGGCCCATAGTATCTGGCAGACCTTTTAATGAAGCAGGAAATTTGAAGATTTGTTCTGTCTTGTGCTAGCAAAGTTTGTCAGTTGCTTTCTTCTGTATCCTGTAGAATGTCTGGCAGTTTCCCCTGTGAAGCAGGGATCTTGAAGAACCATCCCATCTTATCTTGACAAATCCAGCAGTCATCTCTCTGTGGGTCCTGCATGTCCAGTTCACACAGCATACAGTCAAGCAGTTCAGGCAAGAGCAGTTTCCTGCCCAAATGTCTACCCCTGCCACACTGGAGGCACACTCGGTAACAAATTTCTTCAATGCCCATCATCTTCTCTGACATCATCGGTGCTGCCAGGAGCAGATGTGACTCACGTCGACAGAATTCTAAATTATTGAAACATTTAAATACCATGTTCTGTAGGTCTTATTTAGACAAAAAGGGGAATTGTTGTGGGAACTCATTCAGCCAATAGCTTTTGAGGTACCGGTCTCTTTTATGTGTGGTCTCAGCTGCTATATGTGAACTGAGAAGTATGCTCTCTCTCTCGGGTGGTGGTCAGAGATCTAATCGCAGCTTCCTGCACCCCCAGGGCAGAAGACCTAGGTGGCTCTCTACCTTGTGTGACTGTTCCCCAGATAAATATTTGATATCCATTTATTAGGACGTTTGTGGACCCCCTTATTCATGCCTACAATTCATGGTGGCCCAAGTTTGTAATCCCAGCACTCAGCTGAGGTAAGAGGATTGCTTAAAGTTCAAGGCCAATTTGAGCTACATGAAATATATGTCTCAGAAGCAATCAAATAGGAGCCAGGGAGATGGGTCAGCAAATTAGGGCACTTTCTGTCAAACCTAATGACCCCAGTTCAATATCTGGGACCCATATGGTGGAGGAAAAAAAACTTCCATGAGTTGTCTTCTAAATTCCACATGCAAGTTGTGGCATAGATATGCCCACAAATATGCAGATGCATGGTTACATACATAATAAGTAAATGTGAGAAAACAAGCAAATAGCAATAATAATAACGAAGGTGTGTGCTTTTCCCCTTTCTACATTGTGCTATAGACAGGCACTGACCTTAAACTTAGAGGGACCCCAGTGAATGCCCTCTGAGTAAGCCATACATTAGAAGTTCTAGGGCTGCATACCACTACAGGGTTCAGTTTCTCTCCTAGGCCCAGAGAGAGGAACAGTTTTGTCCAGTGTCCCTCAGCAAGTCAGGGGCAAAAGGAGCTGGACTAGGCTCCCCATTTGCTCCATTGTCATTCCTTGCAAGACTGTGAAAAAAAATCCCCGAAGATGTCCTAGAGGGCTGTTGTCGGTGGTCTTATGTGACCTGCGCTGCCCTGGGTGGATTTGTCGGAGCAAGTCTCTGCTCAGAACTGGAAGGACTTGGAGAGCGATGCAGGAAGTCAGTTCCCAGGAGGGTATCTGCTTCCAAAGGCTGAATGACTGGAAGAAGCTGGGGTACAGGTAGGGGGCATTGCAGACGGTCACCAGGCAGGAGCAATACAAAGGATACACAGCTAGGAGTCATGGAAATACTGGAGGCCTCTGTCCAGGCAGGGTGCTCAGGAGATGGATTGAACCTACCTAGTTCTGAAGGGCAAATGGGGTGGCAAGTACAGAGGATCCTGCAGAAAGGTAGCTCATCTCAGGGTGGTGGCAGGGGGTTGGGAGCAAGCCCTGCAGAGAAATCAAATCCTATCTAGAAGTGAAAGCAAGACTAGGGAGGCAGAGAACAGCTAAGGTCCACTCCAGGCCGCAGAGCACTGATCTCTAGATGTAAGATACTTTCTGGAAATAGAAGCAGGCACCTTGAAGTAAAGATATCCTTATGAAGGGATTGGGCCCCCCTGTGGATCAGGAGGAGAACCAGTCTTGCCCAAAGAAGAAGGAAAGAGGAGGATATCTAAGCCAATTTCCAAAACTGTCCTGAAGGGTTGGGGGACATAAGAGTGCTGTTTCTTCAGCTACCCCATGCCCCAGGCCACAGAGAAGGATGCTGCAAAGGGTAGGCATATGTCAAAGACCAGACAGATGTCTGGTGAGCTCTCTCCAGGCTTTCCAAGTAGAACAAGACTTGTCTGGCTTTAGTGTCTGCCAATGCACCCCTTCCCTCTCCAGGAGCCCCTGCAAGTAGAGGAGGTCCCAGAAAAGGGAGGGTCTGAGATAGAAGACT